CCACTCTATTAGGAAAACTAGACAGGGAGAGCTGTTCTTGAGCCTTGCTCTGGTTTTGTGCTAACTGGAATCCTTAAAACGCTCTGCTCCCTTTCCTATCCCTACTCCAAATAGGCCCTAGGCCCTGCCAGACCAGTGCTCTCAGGAAGGAGATTCTTTATTAGAGGGACAGAGGCACAGCCTGAGCGTGCTGGGAGACACTTTGGCCAGGCCCATGACCCAGACTACAGTGCTCATTCAGTTAGTGCCTTAAGAGACAACATTCACAGGCCTCCGATGGGAGACAAGGCTTCATGTCCCATCTAGAAAGGAGTTGCAGCCTCATCCGACACCTGGAGAAGCAGCTCCTCTGGGACACCTAAATAACAGCTGATCATCACCCTGCAGGGTCAAGATGGATTGAGCCAGAGAGCCAGGTCAGAATGTTTAACGAACGCAACATTAGCTCCTTAAACACGCTAAATTGAAGGCTGAAGCAGTTCTTTATTTTGCAACCACGGAGCTCTCCTGGCTTCCGGCATCCAGCCAGTTGGTCTCTTACTTCCACATGCACAGTGTAAACAAAGAACCGCTCCAATCAAAAATGCATTCACGAAACCTGCCTGTAGCTGCGGGGCCCTTCCCTCCCTCCCTCCACCCACCCCCCCAGATTCTGAGGGTCACTACATTACCAATATGCACCCTTTGGCTACCAATAGCTGGGCTAGCATGGCTTGCATACTTGATAAACCCTGGGTTGATCTTCATGCCAGCTGTCAAAGGCTGTTAGGAGGAGTGGCAGGGTGCCCGCTGCAGAAATGCTGAGGTGTCTGAAGTCCTGCACGTACCAGAGTTCAGTCCCTGCTGTGGGCAGGCCGCCGAGCACGGGTGGTCCCTCTTGTCCTGCACGCTTATGACAGGACGTGCTCGAGGACTCCTTGTCTGATTAACTGCTCGCATTTCCAACGTGGTAAAAAGTGCTGCACAGAAGGAAACACAGACAAATTTTCCTTGAAACCCAGGCAGACTGGATTTGTTGCTGCACACAGCCAGCTCTGTTGTGCTGTATGCCCCACTGCGTGGTGGTACCAGATCAGGCAGAGCGGAACCACAGTTCTTGGCTGCGCAGACAGCTTGCAGCATGGGCAAGGAACCATGTGCAGGAACTCTGACATGCTGTGTAGCTGGGGTAAGCGGGGGGATGTCATGGGAGAGAAAGGGAAGGAAGAGGATGGACCACACTCTTGTTAGGGGTACCTGGCTGTTCTTCTTCAGCAGGGGCGTGGTATCACAATCTTTTTTCAGGACGGTGGTACCATCATCAATCTCAAATTCTCCATAGTCTCTTAAACACCGCACCTGCAAAGTGGAAACACGGCGCTCGGAGCATCAGACCTTCCATCAAAATCACCAGGTATCACCACTGACTTACAGCACGTGCCCCAGAAATGAAATATGGACACATTCCTACCCGCCTACTGGAGCTTCAGTATGGAGCAGACCTGGAAATGCAGAACTGGGCTGATCCCATGGTCTGTGGGCTCTACCTGCAGTTCTCTTTCTGCCTCTGCCTGGAGCAAGAAGCACCAGCGAGCAGCTCAGCCCTTACACAGAGAACAGGGGAAGAGCAGCACAAGACACAGGGTCTTGGGAACAGCAGCAGCATTTCCAGGAGAACCTCCCCACACAGGTATCAGAAAATGCCAGTCTGTTAACAGTGACACTGACGGCATGGGTTGATTGTCACTACATGGCATTTCAGAGAGAACAGCAGAACAGAGCATTTCAGCTACTGACTGATTCCTCACATGCTCTTGCTTCACTGTTTCAATTGTGTAACACAATTTACAGTCTCACCTATCAGAGTCCACTTAAAATAACAACAAAGACAACTAGTTAACAGTCCTTAAGGTAGGTAAAGGCTTCCGGTTGGTCTGAGAGTTAAGTTTCTGCCAAGTGCTGCAAAACCTTCTCAGTGAGATGCAGACCACTCACCAAACCCACTCCCTGTGGACTGGAAATGCCATCTTTCAAGAGACTTGGGCCCTCCGTAAAAAAGGGGAGCAAAATGCCGGCAGGCAGAGTGTAAAGAATCATAGAATCACAGACTGGTTGGGGTTGGAAGGGACCTTAAAGACCATCCAGTTCCAACCCCCCTGCCATGGGCAGGGACACCTTGCACTAGACCAGGTTGCTCAAAGCCTCGTCCATCCTGGCCTTGAACCCTTCCAGGGATGGGGCATCCACAGCTTCTCTGGGCAACCTGTTCCAGTGCAGGAACAAAAAGTAAAGAGCGAAGAGTAGAGCTTGCGGAAGCGTTGGTGCTCTGGAAGGCTTTGCTCAATGACCTCTGACTCGGGATGGAAATTCTCTAAAAAAAGAGAGGGTTGGGCAAAACATTTGTTCACAGACAGAAATCACTGCTCTTGCACTTACTTCGATGTACAGGCTTTTAGGAGGCTTTAGGTCCTGTGTAAGGTCCAGCCCCTCCTCTCCCCCAACTGACCGCATGTAGGTAGCCAGAGACTTCTTGTACCGGTTGAACCACTCCACCTGCAGGCATTAACAGCGACCCCTCAGGCAGAGCCGAACAGCTGCTGCTCAGAGACAGGTCCCCGATGAGCCAGATGCTGTCGGACCACTATTCCCAAACGTGCTCCCGCCAGCCTGAGCGCACGCTCTTCCTCAGGGAAAAGCCGCCCCAGAGGCACAGCAATGTGGATGCAGGGAAGGACACATTAGCAGCTCTGTATGTTGCTCTAGAGATGGCGTTTGGGAGCAGCGCGTGAGTTCTGCTGGCTGCAACTCTGGTGTAGTGAAGCCCACCAGATCCTGAAAGCAGCAAGCATCACCTGCACTTGGTACCCGTTTGGAATTGTACCCACAGACAAGAAATAAACAAATCGGTGTTTACAGAACGGCCCATTCAGTGTCATGTTTACAGCGGGGGAAGTCTACCCCGTTTTGACTACCGAATAGATAATCCATTAGGAGAAACAAGGGGAAAGAGGGGAAGAGTTTAAGACTAGGCTGACTCACTTCCTCGGCTGCCATGTGAAACTGGACGGTGTTTGGCAGGACGCTGCCGTACTCCCACCTCAGTGCTCGGATCCGCAGCAACCGGTCATACCTGGGGGGAGAAACAAGGGATAAACCCAGCACTTCTGTGAGGCGAGGACCAGCAGCACCCCCGGTAGCAGTGATGCCCAGCCAGCCTTCGGGGAGAATCATAGAAGGGTTTGGGTTGGAAGGGACCTTAAAGACCATCTAGTTCCAACCCCCCTGCCATGGGCAGGGACACCTTCCACTAGACCAGGTTGCTCCAAGCCTCATCCAGCCTGGCCTTGAACCCTTCCAGGGATGGGGCATCCACAGCTTCTCTGGGCAACCTGTGCCAGTGCCTCACCACCCTCTCCAGGAAGAATTTATTCCTGATATCCAATCTAAACCTCCCCACTTTCAATTTAAACCCGTTACCCCTTGTCCTGTCACTACAGGCCCTTGTAAAAAGTCCCCCCCAGCTTCCTTGTAGCCCCTTCAGGTACTGGAAGGTGCTATAAGGTCTCCCTGGAGCCTTCTCTTCTCCAGGCTGAACAAGCCCAACTCTTGCAGCCTTTCATCATAGGAGAGGTGCTCCAGCCCCTGGAGCATCTTCGTGGCCTCCTCTGGACTCACTCCAAGTGGTCAATATCCTTCTGATATTGGGGGTTCCATAGCTGGACGCAGCACTCCAACGGAGAAACAACGCGGGTCCCTCCCACCTTCCTGCCAAGGGTGTGATGGCCTGCCCGCTAATCCGGACTTCCACAGAGCAGGAGGAAGCAGGCCCTTCTCTTTGCGGACACCCAGACCCACTCTCCTGGGCCGAGAGTCCCAACACCCCGGGCTGGGATGTCTCCTGGGGGCTCCGTCCCTGTGCCGGCGGGATGGACCGGCGCCCCGTGCCCCCGCCGCACTCACAGGTAAGCCAGGAGGCAGCGCTGGTTTCGGAGCAGGCAGCAGTGCCGAAACCGGATGAGGAAAATCAGGTCCGTCCGTCCCGCCTTCGCTTCGGACCTGGAGGAGAAGGAACTGCGTTGCGGCCCGGCGGGGGGAGG